TAGTGTATTCTGCCACCAAGTTCTTACACTTAATTGCAGAATTATTAATAAATCTAATCTAAATCTAATAGACAGCATCGAGTTGGCCCACAGCTTATACAAGCGCAGGGGACAGCTCAGCTGGTCAGTCGATGCCAGATGCACTTTTGGGTGTCGCCCCCGCGTGGTGAGTTAATGGTATGGTTCCGTCAGCCTCCGCGTGATGCAGGTCGAGCATCGGCGTTTTGAGTCCGTAGATACAGAGAGCAGCACAATCCTGCTCGCCATCAAGGGGCTCTACCAACCGCGGCCGAGAGCAGCGAGCCGTGGAAAGCTCGGCCAAATAGCTCCCCCCCCCTCCCGACCGTTCAGCAGCTGGGCGCAGGCTTCGATCGATGAAGGTGGTTGGTCTGTGAAAGTTCGGACCGAGACTCTCCGCTAGCCTAGGGAAGATATATCGGGCTCTCACAGCAACGATCCATACAACTGGAAGGAGAACCCAGAGGTACCTCGTAGCAGTGTCGTGCACTAAAACGAAGAGTTCTGGACAAAACTCGGCTCTGGTTCTCTGAAGGTCATTGGGGGCAGACTCGTGTTTCGAGAATCAAGTGCCATTCGTGAAAGACAGTGTTTACGGCGGCGCGGTGACCTCGAGGCAGCGGGAGATGACGGATGATCTGGCGAGGAAGCGGGAAATCCTACTGAGGCTTTTTACTCCACTAATGGTGCTTCAGAATTAATATTCGCAATTGTATATAATGAAGATCATATGATTACATGTTCAGCTTTTGCTATTAGAAAAGGGAGTAAACATTGTTGTTTTTACGTGAGTATATATTATCACCGGTCATCTCCAGTTCCTGATGGGAGTATTTCGTTGGCAACACTTTGTTTGTAACCTAGTTAGTAATCTATATCGTTTAAAATCCATACTTTAAATGGTCGCATAGTTCATATTAATATCAACAGAACAATTTAAAATATCTTTCCTGACCCCGAGTTGCAAAAAAACAAAGTATGAAATTGTATTCTTCTTGACAATTCGTGGACGCTTTGTGCTTACATTTCCCGCTGCAATATGCGCGTATATACCCTTTCCGCTCTTTCTGCATTGAAGCGAAAGCAAGATCTTCGTGCCGGTCCGGATGGCCGAGATTGCTGAGATAGCAGTGCCGTAGGATCGCGGGTTCTCGAACTCGAACCCGCGGTCTCGGACCGAAGGA